GTACAGCTCTTGGAGGAATTTGATGATGTAATCTTGAGGCATGTTACTCGAGATCTGAACACAGAAGCAAATGAGATGGCACAAATCGCCTCGGGCTTAAAAATCCCAGAAGGCGTGATGAGCAGAGTTGTTGTTGTGGAAAAACGAATTTTGCCATCTATTCACATGCGTGGTATGGCAATTTCTGCTTGTTCCATAGACATAACCCAGACAGATTGGCGCTATCCGATCATGGAATACCTCAAAAATCCAAATTTTAAGGCCTCAAGAAGAACAAAAATGCAGGCCTTGAATTATGTTCTGTTGGAAGGTGTTCTTTATAGAAGAGGATATGATGAATTACTTCTGTGCTGTCTTGGTTCAGATGAGTACTGCCAGATTATTTCAGATGTGCATAATGGAATCTGTGGTGCACACCAAGCTGGAATTAAGATGAGATGGCTAGTTCGTAGGCATGGGTTCTTTTGGCCATCGATCTTGAAAGATTGCATCAGTTATGCTAAAGGTTGTAAAGCCTGCCAGATTCATGGACCACTGCAGAGAGTTCCAGCGTCAGAACTCCATCCAATTGTCAAACCATGGCCATTTCGAGGATGGGCCATAGATTTGATTGGTAAAGTTTATCCTCCTTCCGCTAGAGGGCATTCTTTTATTATTGTTGCCACAGATTACTTTATCAAGTGGGTGGAAGCAAAGCCAATGAACAAGGTTGACCAGATCGATATTATTAAATTTCTCAAGGAGGAAATCATTCACAGATTTGGTTTGCCAGAAACAGTGACTTCAGATCAGGGGACAGTTTTTGTTGGTGCACAAGTTGGAGCATTTGCAAAAGAAATGGGATTTAGGTTACTCACTTCAACCCCTCATTATGCTCAAGCCAATGGTCAAGCTGAAGCTTCCAACAGAATTGTGATAAATCTGCTGGAAAAAATGGTTGATGATAATCCAAGGTGTTGGCATGAGCTGTTATCTGACACAATCTGGGCTTATAGAACTTCGCAAAGGAGTTCTACCAAGGTAACTCCATTCTCTTTAACTTTTGGACATGATGCTGTTCTGCCCATGGAGTTGTCTGCCAGATCATTGCGTATAGCAATTCAACATGGTCTTATTTCTGGAGAATATAATGAAGCAATGATTCTAGAGTTAGAAGACCTTGAAGGTATGCGATTGCCGGCCTTAGATAGGCTGCAAACGCAGAAATTAAAAGTAGCTCGAGCATACAACAAACGGGTGAAATCCAGAAGTCTGGCAGTAGGAGATCTGGTATGGAAAGTAATTCTGCCACCTGGAAAGAAAGACCCCAAATTTGGGAAATGGTCTCCAAATTAGGAAGGACCATTTCGAATACATGAAGTGCTTAGAGGAGGAGCATATTGGCTTGAATCATTAAATGGAGAGTTACATCCTCGAAAAATAAATGGAATCTACCTTAAGCCTTACTATCCTATGATATGGGAGG